TTTGGAATTTTGTCTTGCTCACAATTACTTCTGGTATAATGGGGACTTTTTTTCCCCAAACAAAAGGCGTTGCAATCGGCGCACGTTTTACACCAAGTATAGCCAATCTATTTATGGTGGAAAGGGAAGACAGAAATGTCTTGAACCATGGCCGTAAACAGATTCTGCTATACAAAAGATTTATCGATGACCTGTTCGTCATCTGGGCAGGTCCTGAGGTACAACGGATTCAGTTTTTGGATAAATTAAATCATAATCCAAGTAACATCAAATTAGATTGTCAGTACAATGGAGCTGAATTAAATTTTTTGGATCTAATCATATTTAGGAAGAATGACTCTTTATTTTCCAAAACGTATTTCACGCCAACAGTTCGCAATAGTTATTTACCCTGTCATAGTGGGCATCACCTTTTGTAGCTTAAAAACATACCAAAAGGTCAAATAATGCGTATAAGAAGAAACTGTCATGAGGAAAGTGCCTTTATAAACCAATCAAAGCTAATTATGGATAAGTCTGTTGAAAAGGGATATGAAAGGGAAACCCTCCATGAGACTATTGAGGAGATACGGAATATACATAGGGAAAAATGTTTGATAAATAAACAAGTGAATAAAGATGACAATAAACATCAGTGGGGTTCACATCAGGCCGTGACCATCCGTGACGTCAGCACACACGCTGGGACCACATGGTGAGAGCACGTGATCGTTGTTTAAGATCTCAGTTACCAGTGTGCGGTGAGACTGTCACTAGCTGCTGAGTGGCGGCCATCTTATTGGAAGTATATACACAATGTGCATTACCATGTTACTCAGTGTGAGTGCTTTTCTTAAGGGGGGTTTTCTATAGCAATAAATTATTTTTTTTTTTCACCGTAAAAACAAAGGAGGGTCCCGCTGAAAATCAATGACAATCTGAGTACAGATAATATTTGAAGATATGAGAGATGGTCTGAAGATCTGTTGACTTGTGATTTGATTGGCCTGGGAAACTGAATCCAGTGCGCTAGTTGACCTTTATTTAATTAGAGGTCACTGGATTGATGGAGATCGGAGTATGAGATACTAATAATCTATTGATTGGAGGTCCTTTTGGGCTGCTGGTTGATTATCAAGTTCAAGATTTCACAACTATTCATTAAGGAGATTGATTGAATTCCTATTAATTTTCCACTGCTGCTTACTCCCCAGCTTCTGGTGGGTGTTGAATCCAATGGGGTATTAATCACTGCAGAATCACATGGATGGTGGATCACTTTGTCTTAAAGAGACACCACTGGAATAAATTGAACTTTTCACATTATAATTTTGGTTTTGTTTTTTTCTTTCTTTTATCCTTTTATATTAATTGGACATTGTGTTTTGACATAGCGCTGTTTATGTGTATTTTTTTTAGTCACTGCTTATAGATTATTTTTAAAGTGTCGCACAAGTTTTCACTTGAGAGGAAGGTGTATTGTAGCACCATGCAATATGGTGATTTGTAGTAACACATTTAGTTAAGAGATAGGTGCATTGCAACACGAAACGCAAGATTGGGATTTTTTTATCTCTAGAGTTGAGATCACACCATTACACACTGAAGAGGGAGGTGCATTGTAGCAACACTACTCGTTTTTTAATCACACACATTACTATTCCCTTAACTAGTGTCTCACAGGTATAGGAGTGGCAGCGCAGCATTCCAATTGTGCTATTACCACACACATATTTGTGTTAATTACTAGCAGCAGCCCAAAGGTACTTATCCATCTGTACACTGCGCAGCATTCCCAAATACATGATAGTGTACTCATAGACCTGCACATCTCATAAATACTTAAAGTGGAACTGAAGTCCCACTGTAAAAACCTGCGAGCAGGCAGGCTTTTATGTCTCTTCTGCAATAAAATGTCCCTACCTGCCTGCCTGCTCACTGTCTCCTCTGGAACTGTAAACTGAGCTGCGCATTCGCAGCAGTGCTGGTTCGGTCTCTGAATGCCAGGATGATGACCTCCTGCACATGCGCAGGAGTGACATCATCCTCCACCAGCCAATGAAGAGGCCCAAAGAATGGCACTTATAAAAAGCTGCCAGTGCTAGACCTTTGGACAGGCAAGTATGTAGACCTGAGTTCTGCTTTAAAGTGTTTAGATTTAGGGGCCTGAACATGGCGCTGGGAGACTGCTAAGTGCAGGAGCTCCAGACGCCCGCCACATGGAGACTGTCTGGAGCTAGACCTCTTTGGACTTCACCCCAAAGGTCTCACCGGATCCTGCTGGTGGTCCCGATCGGAGCTGTACAGTGTGTCCGCAGTATCCGCAGAGGTCACGTGACAGCTGGCGGTAAGAGTGAGCCCTGGTGGAAGGACCGAGCTGCAGAGGACCAGGGCTGGGATCCTGGATCCGGGATTCAGCCGGCGGAGGTGCTCTCTGGAGTGCAGGGGTTGCTGAGAGAGGGGGACAGAGGAGGCGCCTGAAAAGACCAAGCATGGAGGGACTGAAGGAGGGACTGTCCGTGCGGGGATGTGCTAAACCAGTGGCTCAACGTCCCAAAGACCTTGGGAAGAGCAACATACCTTGGGAGACCCTGAGACCAGGAGCTACCCAGGGGCACAGGACATCTTGAGCCCCTGCCCAGTCCCCCTTCAGGTGATCCTGCAAATAGGGACATGAGACTCCAACTCAGGGATAGAAGAGAGCACAGAGACAGATGGACCCAGAACCCCAGGCTCAGAGTTGCGTGGGTAACGGCAGGAGATTTAAGCTGCTACTGTCTCTGTTGTTAGCAACTGCATACCTGAGCTGTGGGGCTGGGCAGTCAGAATATTAAGGAACTGGGGGATCTCAGTGGCCAAGTGCTGGTGCTAATAACGTTTACATTATTAAAGTTATTCGGAACTGCAAAATTTACTGAAGAAGAACAAGGAGGACGGGCCTTCCCTTTTGCCACACATTTTGTCATTTGACAAATACGCTATCAATGCACCAAAATACGTATTGAAAAAATGCACAGCACTCCATACCCAACAAAGGTTCAGTTTGGCTTTTTGGGGCCTTTTTAATGAACATTTTGGTGAAGTTTTTAATAAACATTTTACAGGTTTTTTCAAACGCACATTTTAAAAAAAAATGTGAGCTGAAGTTGTTATGTGCATTTTGGTGCTTTTTAATGTTTTGGTTCCTTTTTTACCATTATTTATTTGTTAATGGCACCCGAAAGTGGCTAGCAGATGTGCAGTTTGCCAAAACATGCATAAAAACCAAATCAATATGCACTTTAAAAAAATGCTAAAATATGTGCTAAGAAAAGTGCCAAAATGTGTGTTACAAACCACACCAAAATGCATGTTAAAATAACCTGTGCCAAAATGTGCATTAAAGTGCCTAAGGCTAGGTTCACACCTATGCAGGTTTCCTTTGAGCCGTTTCTGCATTGTGTTTTGCGTTGTGTTTTTGCACTTGCGTTATTGCCACGTTTTTGATGCATTTTGCGGGGTTTTTTTTTTTTCCCATTTGTTTTATTGTTCTTGTTGCTAGACAGATTTAAAATGCAAAAAAAAAAAAAACGCATCAAAAACGCCACAAAAATGCAATACATGTTTTTCTGCAAGGTTTCCATTGAAGTTTATAGAACCAAAAATGCAACTTTTTGCATACAAAAAAGTCTCTGACCCGTTCCAAAAAATGCACCAAGCTATTTTCATGTAATGGTCTTTTTAACTTTGGCTTCACTGTTTAAACTCAGGTGATCTGTAATCACACAATTAGTTTACAAGATCACATGCAGCCCTCCCCCTTCTACACAGATCTCAGAGGAAAAACTTCTCTTCTCCTGAGAACAAATGTTCTCCGCTTCATAAACAGGGGGACAGAGGAGAAGATTTTTCCCTGAGAACTGCAGAGAACTGAAATGAGATAAATGATCTCTGCTTAATAAATGTACACCTTAAATTGGAAGATCAAGAGAATAGAGAGAGAAGAAATAATTTAAGGATTCGGGGACAACCAGAAGATTCACATGAAGAATACCTTGGAAAAAAATAAGGAGGGTGTTTAATCCAATAATAGGTAGATTAGCCACAGATCCTTTGAAAATTGAGAGTACATAGGTTAAGACGCCAGCCAGGAGCAACACCAGATATCCCTAGAGACGTGATTGTACGTTTCCATCATTAGGAGGATATAGAGAGAATATGGAAACAATTGTGGGAGATCCCAAAATAAAATTTGGAGAAACGAAGTTGCAAGTATTTGCGGACATTGCATCTGAGACATTAGCTAGAAGATTGTTGAAAACTCTATTGGATCAGATGAGGGAGAAAAGAGTTCGATATAACTGGGGATTCCCAGCATGCAGAATCGGATGGAAAGACAGGAAATCGGCAAGGCTGAGATTCCCAGAAGCACTTAGTGACTTTTGTGAAAAACTAAAACTGCAGAATGTGGACATTGCTGGGTGGCCAGAGGGGTCTAATGAGAGTGTAAGGTGGAGAAAAGAGAAGTGGCAGTTTGCAAATAAAAAGAGAAGATAGATGGAGGTGGGGTGGGGGTATGGTCAGGGGAGAGATGTGGTGGAAGGGGGAGAGGAAGGGGGGTAATAACCCCCGTCCTCCCCCTCTGGCTTGCCCACAGGAGGGCTAAAGGTTAAAAAAAAAAAAAACAACTGCCCGGCACCCGGAACTACATGTCCCGGGGGTCGGGCGATATAAATTCAACATCCCTGGTACCGTTTGTCTAGTGCGCACATATGCAGCAGTGTAACCCGTAGGTCAACAACTTTCCACTATCCCTCTACGGATGAGAAATAAATTTGATTTTTTACAGATAGGAAAGTATTTGGAAGACAAAAAATGCAAACTGCAAGAACCAGTGACTATTTATTTAAAGCAACCCAGATCTTATTATAAAAGCCCCTCCCCCGCCACCACCTTCAATAAAAATTTTACACTAATCAGAATTGTGTGTCACTCAGAGAGCTAATGCTTCATTAAATCACATACTGTAAAAAACGACTTACCCTTCAATGTGAGCATTTCAAGCATGCCGGCACGCAGAACTGAGCGATAATTTTTACTGACTTGGACTAGTCTGTGAAAAAAAAAAAAAGCAAAAAAGATGAATCAAGGCAGAAAAGGAAATTATGCCCATGTTTAAAAAATAGCTCACTATATTGTCACTCATTACCAAACCTCCATGGCTTAAAAATTTTTTTTTTTTAGTTTTCGGTGAAGCTAACTTTTTAACCACTTCAGTTCCAGGGCTTTTTTTGTACTTAGGATGTGTAGCACCCCTGTCTTTTTTTAACATACAAAACAGGGGATTGATTTAGAATCATATCATTCACACAGCCCCAGAGATTTACCACAAAAGATAAATTGTTAGACCTGTGATTAAAATATTACACAAGTGCAATTTGTATGTAATGTAAAGCAATAATAAAACTTAGGGGTCACCCAAGATTTACAGAATTTTCTAATTGGATTTGAGTGTCAGTCTTTGGTAAAAACCTTTTTAAACAATCCTCTAAAAGTCAAAGATCATCTTTATTTAGAATAGCCCCCTGCCCTTTTTTGATGATACACTGGCATACACAGAATTAGCAATCAGTTTCCATCAATGGTTATTGTAGCATTAAGAGAAGATCAAGTGAGGTTTGTGCCAACAAGAAGTAAACACAACAACCCCATTTACACAGGTTATCATACAAAATATCAAATAAAATTCTGGAAAACATTTCAATTGCTTGCATGAGGATTTGATACTTAAAGCAGATCTATAGGCAAAACGTTTTTGCATTCTGCATAGAGTAAGGGAGGTTTATAACCCCTGTAATGTTTATTTTTGCCTTCTTTGCCCATTGGGAAGATTTCCCTTCATTTCCTGTCCCATAGGGAAACAGGAAGTGAGAAGACATCCCTGGGGACCTCCAGGTCACCAGAACTAGTGTCCTCTATTACTTTTCTGGGGACAACCCAAAATTTGTGATTTTCTTTTACATTCACTTTTAATAATGATCAACAGGACAAATAGAGAGGGTGAATCTCCCTAACAGGGACACAGACAGCAATAAAAACTTGACAGGTGTTCTAATTCCATCTACACTCTATCCAAAACTGAAAATAAAGTTTTGCCTTTAGGTATACTTTAAGTCAGTCATACATGGATTGAAATTCTGCCAGTTCAGCAGGGATCGACTGAATTTCGATCCATATATGGGCTAGCTGGTTGTACCCAAGTCGATCTATCCATCGACTTGGGTACAACCAACCTGTCATGTTTTTCCTGAACGATCAGTGTTGCCAGCTATAGCCGGCAACACTGATCATTGGTTTTTGCCACCAGAATAAAATAGCACAGTGGCAGGATTCCCTTATCCACATCAATGCGTAAATAGGGGCATAGGCTATTTTTTTTTCATTCAACTTACTGGTTTGACTAAACAAAAAAAAAAAAAAAAAAGAAGAATCATGCCTCCCTTACACAGTTAGAACAAATAAAATTCACAGTATACTGAATACGGTATTCAACATAACTGGTTTGAAAGGTCTTATTTTGTCTTGATTTATATTTTTATTTATTCATGTTACAATCTTTATGGAGGGACCAGATCAGGTCATAGGAGATGCACCTCTATAGTAAGGTTACTGTTAAAAAAGAGAAGTACTGCTCATCATTGTCTCCAAGTAATAGATCGCTACTGCAGTAATCTATTGCTACAGGTGCATCAACAAATATCGTGTCAGCGATACTGGCCCCGCACGGACATGCTCCCCAACAAAGCCTCAGTGCTACCAGTTATCATTTCATGAGACTGTTAAGGAGCAACTGTCAGACAAGGCTGGAATAGCAGGACAGAGTAGAAATGGAAACTCTGCTAGATTTTTCTCATCTTTCTGGCACTTATAACTCTGCTTTTAATACCTATGGACAATGTGAACTACAGTGTAAGCTGTATTACACAAACATTTAAAATTATAGTATTAGGTTTAGTGACAGGGTGTCTTTAACCACTTGCCTTCCAGATTTACCTCCCTTCCTGACCAGGCCATTTTTTGCGATACAATGCAGCGTTACTTTAACTGCCAAATGCGCAGTCATGCAACTATGTACCCAAATGACATATATGTCCTTTGTTTCCCCACAAATAGAGCTTTCTTTTGGTGGTATTTGGTCACCTCTACAGTTTTTACTTTTTGCGCTACAAACAAAAAAAGACTGACAATTTTGAAAAAAATAATAATATTTTTTATTTTCTGCTATAAAACATATCCAATAAAAAAAAATTTAAAAAGCAACATTTTTTTATGAAGTTAGATCAAAATATATTCTGCTACATATTTTTGTTAAAAAAAAATCCCAACAAATGTATATTGATTAGTTTGCGCAAAAGTTATAGAGTTTACAAACTATGATACATATACTGGAATTTTTTTTTTCATCCTAGTAATGGTGGCGATCAGCGCCTTTTAGTGGGACTGCGATTTTGCGGCGGACATTTTTACACTGACACTTTGTGGGAACCAGTGCTAAAATTATGCACTGACACTGTATTAATGACACTGGCTGGGAAGGGGTTAACGTCTAAGGTGATCAAAGGGTTAAGTGTGTACCTAGCTATGTGCACTAGGTGGTGCTTTTAGTAGGGGAAATGATGAATCATGTTCTCAGCTTTGCAGAAAGAAAGGATTCATGACTTTCCCGTCACAACAGTGCTATCGCTATGTAAACATAGCCATAGCTCTGTTCTTCCTCCCTGACTGACAATCTGCAGTCCGATCGTTTTGTGCTGTGACAGTTCACAACTGAAAAGTTTCTACAGCGGTGTGTGGCAGAGGTGCAAAATGACGTTAATTTACGTGATTTCACAGAACAGAGCAGAACTGCTGATGTTTCAAATGACATTGTCGATGACAATCTGGCATAAAAGATTTTTGTCCTTTCATAGTATTTATTTTGAAGGACGGAGGCATTCAGAAAACAGTGGGTTTTACTGCAGCCTACAGGAAGTTGGGTCATTAGCAAACAGAAAAGTTGCAAGCTAGGCCCCATATAACCCATCCTCTATCCAACATGCCCATGTATTACCCCAGTCCAGTGAAGCAACCACAGTTATGAACAGAGGGACTGGAACCTTAGTCAAACAGTTACAAATATTCACCTGAAAAGGGTCAGAACTGAGGAAGAAATCAAGACAAACCTCAGGAGGCAGCATTTTAGCCACATAAGAGCTCCAGGAGATCGTTGCTGGTGAAGGCCTCCAGATGGGCTTTATCAACTATATGGAGGATCTACAATAGAATTTTAACTTGTCCAGTCTGCAGACAATCCAGAGGAACACTGGTTTGTCCAGTGACAGTGTCTTCCTTCCATGCAAGAGATGAGGTGCACCCAGGTGTGCGTACCTCTCTCTCTACATAGAAGGGACAATCAACTGATGAGAAGCAGGTAGCAATGCAAAATATAAAAATGAGGACCGTATGGAGAAAGCAGTATAAATGAAACCCCAAAATTATGAATGGTTGAAAGTACTAGAGAGTTGGATTTGTGAAATATTGATTCAAAGCGTTATTTCACCTCCTCAGAAAAGGCAAATACCATACACCCCCCGGTCCCTGATGTACTTACCTCCAGAGATGCTGAGCTGTCAGTGTCTATGCAGCCAGTCCAGCAGTCTGGGGATTTGAAATCCCTGCTTTTCTCCCTCTTCTTTGTGCAGTGATTCCGGGATGGACCAGAACAATTCTAACTGCTCAGTGCCTGCACAGCGAACAGAAGGAGACAGTGAATAGAAAAGGGAGAAGAGCAGGGATTTCAAATCTCTGAACTGCTGGACCGGCTGTATAGGCACTGACAGCTCTGCTTCGCCGGAGGTAAGTGCAGCATGGATCGGAAGGGGGGATAGAAGGTTGTACAGTGTTAGTTCACTTTAATATTGTAGGAGTGCTGAATAAACTTGCCCATACATACAAGCTTTGTATTTTTCATACATGTCCCCCAAAGGCTATATGCCATGAAGTTGTCACATACTCTGCTTTACGTGTCCTGCTGGATGACTCTTCTTCACTCTTTTGAAGGTTCACAAATATGCTGTGAGACTCATTAAAAAGTTTACGCAGGACAGGAGAATAGAGATCTTCATCGTTACTAACAATATACATGAATGGACAGAGGTTAAAGATAGAGCGTCTGATATCTGCAGAGTAAAAACATAAGATTAATAAATAAATTAAAGGTACTTTTTAACCATGTTTAAAATTACGAGGCAACACATTGTTTTATTATCATGTTTCTGCTACATTCTAAAGCTCCATGTACATGGGACACTTCTGAATAATGGAAACTGACTGCTGGAAAACATATTTTAAAAAAATGTCTGTTTAGCTGAGTTTGCATACCGCGTTTATGTGTGATTATGAGTGTTTGCGTTTAGAAGCGTTTTTTAAAGATAACCTCAGGAGACCTTCCAAAATACCCAGAATGCACTGGAAAACAGTAAAAAATTAACTATTCCAGACATTTTGAGAGAAATAGAGAGAGAAGAAGCAGAGAGAGCAGTATTTGTTGAGATTAGCTGTCTTTTTTTTTGGATGGTGTTTGGATGTGTTCCAGCTCATTTGTGTGCAGACATTATTGCAGCAGTGTCTAACATATTTTCTTTCATGTGAAACCTCAAAGTATGGTGTACCAGGTCCATTTCAGCAGCGGGAACACAGCTGATCACGTGGTAAAAGGCCGCTGTGATTGGCCTTTTACCACACCACGTGATCAGCTGTGTCGGTAGGGCACATGGGAGGGTGTGTTCTGGGAGGACATCATATGACGCCCTCCCAGAACTGGACAACCGTGCTGTAGCCGTCATTTGGCCATAGCGCGGTTGGCAGTGGTTAATGACAAAGAGCACTGCTTGCCGGAAGGGCTGAATGAGTGGGCACTGCCAAAAGATGTGGACCATGGATCCCTCACCCCCCCCCCCCCCCCACAGTGCCAGCAGGAGCCAGATATCTGAGAGAAATATAAATTAAGTGTAGTGCTGCAAACATTTTTTGAATATTGCATCATTTATTAACTGTAAGTGATACACAGGGACTGCCGCCTTACTTCACATCAGATATACCAATTTATTATTTGTGGCACAGACATACTTTTGGTATAATTTTTTTTATACTTTTTGATAATCCTGCTTTGATAAATGTCAGTCCCTGAATCACACTCTCCATGTTTTACACCACATACATGCGGGATCCTGGAGACTACAAAAAGCTCAGTCTTACAATCTTTTCCTTCCTTGTTACAAGAGCCAACAGTGGTGGATGACAGCAAGATCACTATAGTAAAGGTAAAGAATGTTTATAGAGTAGCCAGTCAAATCAGGCATGAAGCTCGAACGGAGAAAGATTTCTACAAACAGAAGAGGAAACAGCATAAGGGGACACATGCTACTGACAGTAATAACATAACTGTTGTCATTTATAGAGAAAAGCCACAGAGGAAAGATTTAAAATGGTTCTAAAGGCAGTTTTTTTTTCACCTTAATGCATTATTGTAAAAAAACTTTTGGTGCTGCTCCCCCCTATACTTAACTGAGCCCCATTTCGAGGAGCAATTGGCTCCTGCTGCTGTCAATCACAGCCAGTGAGCCAAGGAGGAGAGAGCTGAGGGAGGGGACGACCCACGCTCTGTGTGCAATTGAACAATGTCAATTTACAAGAGCGTGGCTCTGATGCAAACCTGCTGGAGTGCCACCAGAGCAAGAGGCTTGCTATTGGGGGCACTTGGCAGGGGGGAGGGGCCAGGACCACCAGCAGGGGACCCAAAAAGAAGATAAGGGCTGCTCTGTGCAAAATCATTGCACAGAGTATGTAAATATGACATGTTTGTTATTTTTATTTATTTCAACCTGTAGAATCACATTAATGCTGGTCTCCAACTTTAGTGTCCCTTTAAGCCAAGCTGGTCTAAAATGAACTATTTTATACACCTGCCAGGCACACTGCATAAACTGTATGTAGCTTCAGCTACACTGAATATGCAGCACTGTGTTCTGGCTGTAGAGCGCAAAATTCCTGTCCGACATGGAACAAACCTGGAACAAACGTGAATCGGTCTGAGCGGCGTTTAGCCATTCATAGGATTTCAAGGTGACTGTGAATCTGATAAATCCAGTTTATAATTATTAAAGGAGCTAACCCATTGCAAACAAATTGCTAATATATTCACTGAGAACCTGCAGCTCAAAAATAAAAGACCATAAAGTAAGTTGGTTCCCCTCAATATTGTATAATTACATTTACAAGCGTATTGACTCTGCAAGTTACTTTTGTAAATAGAAAATGCTGTGTGCACCTTTACTCTTGTAATGGGTTTCATATAGAAGCAATTCTCCTGGTCCCCAGCTGAATCCGATGTTTCTGTGTTGCTGTCCAAGTCCAGGTATGCTCTGCAATGAGACAAATTATATCAAGAGATTACTGGCTTGTAAAGCAGCCGATCAACCAATTCAGCCGCTTTGGGGAACAGAGGAAAGATCTGGGGTCTAATAGATGCCGATCTTTCCATAAAGAGGACCCATCACTGCCCATCCTATCACAAGGTATGTTGTTCATCCATGTGAAAGCAATAAAGTTCTATTAAAAAAAAAAAAATAAAGAGAGTGTAATAAATACATTTTTTTTCAATAAAATAACTTTTTTTTTTTTTTAAATTTAAAGCGCCTTTGCGCCCCCCCCCCCTCCCCCCATGCTCTTGCACAAATGCGAACAAGCCTGTAAATCCTGCATGCACATGTATACAGTGATCACACCACACGTGAGGTATCGCTACAAAACAACCTGTAAAGGCTTTTAAATCGAAGTCTATTGATAATTTAATATGCCGTGGTTTGTCGCCAATCCATCGGCGTGTGCAGTTTTAAAGCGTGACATGTTAGGTATCTATTTATTCGGTGTAACATCATCTCTCATACATTCTAGTGCTTGTCAATGACACAAAAACATCTGACACTGGAATCTGAAGATATACTCCACTAAAGGCTGTGCATTAAGGCCGACAAATGACACTATGAAACTACGTGATCGATGCACATAGAGGGATTAAAGCACTTCCCATGAGAAAAGCAACTTTCGTTGGCATTTGTCTAGCACTTCTTGAAGCATTTTCAACGCTTCAAAAACACAACAAACACACATCATAAATGCTAGAGGCATGTTAATGAGCATTGCTTCATTCTTCATAATCAGCACATGTGTGATTGAACCCTAATGCAAGTTTGGAGGGGTGCAATTCACAGTCAGTATGGCCTTGTAAGTTGAGAGAAGATGTATACAGTCAGTATACCCACGTATGTAGAGATGTGCTGTATACAGTTAGTATGACCATGCATGTAGAGAGGTGCCATATATACAGAGCATGGCAAATTTGCTTTGAATCTAACAACCAGCTAAAAAAGCTAGGAGTAATTTTTTTTTCTGACTGCAAGGGCTTTGTTTTCGGCGAAAGAGATGGATGACCAACTATTGATCTCTAAAAGGGGTCGCTGATAGGATGCTCTGATATAATGGGGGGGGGGGTGTCTCTAAGGGGGGTGCTAATATGAAGGGACTCTAATCTAATGGGGAAGGGGTCTCTGAAAGGGGTACTAATATAAAGGGACTCTAATCTAGTGGGAGGCCTCTAAGGGGTTGATGCTAAAATAGGGGAACTCTAATCTAATAGGTGGGTGCTGACTTCTGATCAGCAGTCAGCACCCCCCCTTAGAGGCCCCTATTAGCTCACAGTTCCATTATTTCAGTGCCCCTCCCACTCAGATACCCCCATTAGATCAGAACCACCCCCCCCCCCTTTTATTAGCGCGCCCCTAACGGAAGGACTCAGGAGCACATGCATGCCAGTGTCTAAAACTGGGAGCCGGAGCCAAGTTCAGCCAGCTCCTCCATGCGTCGTCCTTGCCATCTCCCCAGCCAGCCAATCAGTTAAGAGGCCACCCCCAGCTCCTCTCCCGATTAGGGGAGGGTCAAAAGGGGGTTGGAAGTTTCAGCCAGTGGAGATTGGGGAGGCTGACAGGCTGCCCAACCATCGCTCCACCACACAAGGTAGACATGTGATACGTGGCCAATGGAGGAGAGAAGGTGAGGAGCTCATTGGGTGGCTGCCCAAGGAGTTGCTCCTGCCTGATGGCAGCGGTTATGGGCTGGTGGGAGCCCGGGCCCCGGGATGCGATTTCTGGGAGCCCTGCATATATAGATATGACCATGTACCTGAAATAGTGCCATATGCAGTCAGTATGGCCATGTAAATAGAGGGGTGCCATGTACAGTCTGTATGACAATGAAGGGTTTCATATACTGTCAGTATAAAAATGTATCTGGAAGGGTGCAGTATGTACAATACAGGGAAGAGCAGGTACAGACAGTATATGTACAGTATCGGGGTGGGCAGGTACAGTATGTACCGTACAGGGGAGGGCATGTACGGTCAGTATGTACAGTACAGGGGAGGATAGGTACGGTCAATATGTACAGTACAGGGGAGGACAGATATGGTCAGTATGTACAGTACAGGGGAGGATAGGTACAGTCAATATGTACAGTACAGGTACGGTCAGTGTGTACAGTACAAGGGAGGATAGGTATGGTCAATATGTACACTACAGGGGAGGAAAGGTATGGTCAGTATGTACAGAACAGGGGAAGACAGGTACGGTCAGTATGTACAGCACAAGGGAGGATAAGTACAGACAATATGTACAGTACAGGGAAGGACAGGTATGGTCAGTATGTACAGTACAGGGAAGGACAGGTATGGTCAGTATGTACAGGGAAGAGGATCTCTGTATGTACAGTACAGGGGAGGACAGGTATGGTCAGTATGTACAGGGAGAGGACAGGTACAGTATGTACAGTACAGGAGAGGACAGGCACGGTCAGAATGTACAGCGCAGGAGAGGACAGGTAAGGTATGCACAGTACAAGGTAGGACAGTACGTCAGAATGTACGTGCAGGGAGAGGACAGGTACAGTATGTACAGTACAAGGTAGGACAGGACGGTCAGTATATACAGTACAGGGTAGAACAGGCATGGTCAGTATGTACATGATCAGTATGTACAGTACAGGAGAGGACAGGAATGGTCAGTATGTGCAGTACAGGGTGAGGACAGGTATGGTCAGTATGTGCAGGGAGAGGACAAGGTACAGTACAGGAGAGGACAGGCACGTCAGAATGTACAGTGCAGGGAGAGGACAGGTAAGGTATGCACAGTACAAGGTAGGACAGGCACGTCAGAATGTACAGCGCAGGGAGAGGACAGGAACAGTATGAACAGTACAAGGTAGGACAGGTACGGTCAGTATGTACAGTACAGGGTAGAACAGGCATGGTCAGTATGTACAGTACAGGGTAGGACAGGAATGATCAGTATGTACAGTACAGGAGAGGACAGGAATGGTCAGTATGTGCAGTACAGGGGAGGACAGGTATGGTCAGTATGTGCAGTACAGGGGAGGAAAGGTATGGTCAGTATAGCCAGAATGGACAAACATGGAAAAGATCAGTCAATGGTCTTGATTGTGTGTACCAATGCCTCCTTCACCACACTCATCTCCCCCTGCCATCTGTGTGTATAGTCACCCACTGTGGTGGGAATGCCAGGTGGACTAATGTGGGTTGATGTGGATGTACCGGAGGCAGCACTGGTTGGATGAATCCGGGTGAGAAGCAATGTGGGGAACTCACTGCTCAGCTGGACATGACCTGTAGATGAGAGGGCAGGTGGCAGTAAGAACATGTTGCGTCTACATCTATTGCCAGAATGCTGATCTTGAACTGACCCATTTGGGGTGGCTGTGGAGGTTTGTTTCCCTTCTCTCTAATAAATGTACTCCATGATCCTGAGTGAACGTTTGCCTAACACAAGCATTATTAATATTATACGGGATTTATATAGCTCCGCACTTTACAAAATGAAGGTAGATATTACAGTTACAATACAAGAGGACACAGATGGCCCGGCTCGTTAGACCTTACAATCTAGGAGGAAGGGTTGAGGGATACAAAAGGTAATAGCTGGGGGGGGGGTGAGCTGATGGGAGGAAATAAAAGGCGGTTTACTAGGTAGAAGCAGGATAGACTTCTTTAACCTCCCTAGCGGTCTGATTATGTCCATATTTCTGTGCACAAAGTGGTACATTTTTTTGCATGGAAATATGTATTTTGTTTATTGTAGGCTGTAATTTTTAGGAATAACTCACTGAAATCTGTCCAAACAAGAGTCTAGTAAACATCCCGGGTATGATAAAATTGTAAACACGAAATCATAAATTATAATAGAATAAATAATCATAAAAAATAATAATAAATTTAATTCAATAATATAATCAAACCAAAAACACTGAAATTTGAAATATAGCGCCAAGTTCACACATCACGAGCTTAGTCACAAAATCGTTTTCAGTGTCTGATGACGAATTTCCCCTCAAATCATTATCATTCAATTCTGCAAGTGGTTCTGATTTACTATCACTGTTCTCTAGCCGGTCTAAAACCGCTTTTGACCTAAAGGGACGCTTTTTGGACGCCATGGACATTTCTAAGTTTCCAGGCAGAATGAACAGTACAAATGCAGGCAGGGCACAGGACAAAGCACTCGGGACAAAATGTATGTGAAATGGTTTGATACAGTAATGTTTTACTATGTGATTTTAGTGTATTGAGTGAATGTCACATTTTAAAATTTTTGAATTTCCCGCTGGTTCCGTCCTCCATACATTCCGACGCTCGCATGGACCGGAACCCGGAAGACGGATGCTGTCATCGGCCGGAGGAGAAGGCCGGGGACGTTGCAGGGTGGACATCGCAGGAGTGCAGGACAAGGTAAGTGCTGGAGGGAATCCCTTAGCAATGCTGCAGGGTAATCCCAAGTGTAGCTCGGGGTTACCACTTCTGGTACTGAAAGTTAACCCTGAGCTATACTTGGGAATACCTCCAGGGGGGTTAAAGAGAGAAGTTTTCAGGGATCGTCGAAAGGTGGATAGATTAGGAGTTAGCTGGACATATTGCGGTAAGGAGTTCCATAGGATGGGAGAAGTCCAGGAGGAGAGCATGGGAGGAGGTGGCGTGGGAACTAAGAGCAGAAGGTCTTGGGAGGATTGAAGAGAGCAGTTTGGTTGACATTTTGAGACCAGGTTGGTGATGTAGCTGGGGGCAGAGTTGTGGATGGCTTTGTAAGTTGTAATTTGAATTTTATTCATAGGGTGAGTGGAAGTCAGTGGAGGGATTGGCAGAGAGGGGTGGCAGACACTGAATGGTTGGTAAGGTGGATGACCCTGGCAGCAGTATTCATGATGGACTGGAGGGGGGGGGGGGGTAGTCTATGTAAAGGTAAGCCAATGAGGGAGTTGCAGTAGTCAAGGCGAGAGATACCCAGGGAGAGAATTAGGAGCTTTGAGGTATCATTGGTTAAGAAGGGGCGTATTCTGGAGATGTTGTGCAGGTTGAGGCGGCATGATTTGGATGTGGGCCTGAAAAGATAGTTCAGAATCCAGGGTTACCCCTAGCACCCTGGCATGCAGGGATGGGTTGATAGTGGTGCTATTGATCCTGACTGAGAAATCAGGGGAAGAGGTACGTGGGGGAGGAAATATTATGAGCTCAGTTTTGGATAGATTGAGTTTTAGGAGTGGTGTGATATCCAGTCTGATATGTCTGTCAGTAAATCAGTGATATGTGAGGAAACTGATGGGGTGAGCTGAGAAGTAGAGAGCTTCCCATGGTTTCCAATACCATTTCTATGTTGATGACACACAAATCTATCAGCTGACCCAAGGAAGACGTGTAGATGGAGAATAGGAGAGGTCCAAGGATAGAACCTTGGGGGACCCCGACAGTAAGAGGAGGAAGTAGTAGAGTTGTAAGTGACACTGAAGGTGAGGCAACATTCCAACCAACGGAGAGTCCAGCCACGCATGGTGAGCCACCAATATACCAGCTATGTGTCTCTGGACCCAGCTGTACGGACCTGGCGGTAGGACTGAGTTGCCCGATGCACTCTGCCATACACCGCCCAGGACAGATCAGCACAGCAGATGACTGGACCCCTGGAGGTGATCTATTATTATCATTACAGGTACCTATGTAGCGCCATCCATTTACGCAGCACTTGATATATATATTGTACATTAACATCAGTCCCTAACCCTCCAGGGGCGTACAATCTAAGGTCCATAACTCACATACTAGGGCCAGTTTAGACAGGAGCCAATTCACCTACCAGCATGTCTTTGGAGTGTGGGAGGAAACCCATACAGGCACAGGGAGAACATGCAAACTCCAAGCAGGTGGTGCTGTGCTTGGGATTCAAACCGAGGACCCTAGTACTACCAGGAGGAAGGGCTAACCATTTGTCCACAGTGCTGCCCAGTGTGCTGTCCTTTCTCACACTCCACATCCTGTCCGGCTCCGCCCCCTCCTCTATAAGTCCTGTGATGGGAGGAGCCCATAGGGACTGCCTTCCTATGCTAACCAACTATACGCAGCAGCACACCGCCCCCTTGTGCTGGGTTCAGGCATCTACTAGTCAGTGGTGTAGGCACGAATGGGGGTGTAGCACTGTGTGGGACTGTAGTGTCTGGATGGGATGCATCATGGCTGCGGTCTCCGGATATACGGCTCAGTCAGCACACAATGTACAAGCCAAGCCGGCCGCCTCCCCGCTCCCCTCCATTCCCACTACAACGCTCACTATCACAGCCGGCTCCACGTCCAGCTCCTCCATCGTTCCCCGCCGTCTTCCTGATTCCCGCTACAGCTCAGGGACCTCACTAAGGACCCCTGGTCTGACCTAGCCACTGCCTGATTCGAGGCACAGAGCGCTACAACAGAAGTGAGCAAGAGCTGAGCTTTGAGTCATAAAACATACAATTAGACCCGTACTCTGCTTTATATTCCAGTCAGGGCGGAGTACAGAAAAATACATGAATATGACAGGCAGCCAGGGGCAGCTATCACAGTGTGGACCTGTCATGGGACTGTCAGGAGCCATGTGCGGGCTGTATATAACGTGGAGGAGTGGCTCCGGATGGCCCTCTAATATACAAAACGTCCCTCATCCACAACCACTTCCTCACCGCTTTCTCATTTAGGTCTCTTTCAGCTAGGAGCTGGTGCGGTGGTAAAAATGAGTGGCCGAGTCGCAGTTTTACCAGCCCACCGTGGTGGATTCATTTTTTTCCTTTATATAGTAAATAAAGTCCTGTGGTTTTTAACTACCATCAAAGAAAGCTGTTTTTGTAAAAATAATATTCCTTCTGCACACTCCGTAAATACTGGATCCCCACGTGTGCACCTCCACCATTTTTTCTGGGGTCAGTGTGCCCATCACAAGGACCTGAGACCAGCAGGGTGGGTGCCACTTTGTAGAGAGGAGGGAGATCAGCAAACATCCATTCATGGATCCCCTTTTCCACCTAATGACTTGGAAGAGACATATAAAACATCACTCCTGTGTCCTGGCTCTGGATGGCCCTCTAATAGACACAACATTCCTCATCCACAACCACTTCTTCACCTCATTTAGGTCTTTTTCAGCTAGGAGCTGGTGTGGTGGTAAAAATGAGTGGCCGAGTCGCAGTTTTACCATACCAGCGTGGTTGATTCATTTTTTTTTTCAATAATTTTTTTCCTTTATATAGTAAATAAAGTCCTGTGGTTTTTAACTACCATCAAAGAAAGCTGTTTTTGTCAAAATAATATCCCTTCTGCGCACTCCCGTAAATACTGGACTCCCTACATGTGTGCACCTCCACCATGTTTCCTGGGGTCAGCGTGTCCATCACAAAGACCTGAGACCAGCAGGGTGGGTGCCACTTTGTAGAGGGGAGAGAGATCAGCAAACATCCATTCACAGATCCCCTTTTCCACCTAATGACTTGGAAGAGACATATAAAACATCACTCCTGTGCCCTGGCTCTGGATGGCCCTCTAATATACCCAACATTCCTCATCCACAACCACTTCCTCACCTCATTTAGGTCTCTTTCAGCTAGGAGCTGGAGCGGTGGTAAAATTGAGTGGCCAAGTCACAGTTTTACCAGCCAACCGTGGTGGATTCTTTTTTTTTTTCAATCATTTTTCTTTATATAGTAAAAAATATAAAATCCAGTGGTTTTTAAATACCACCAAAAAAGCTTTTTTTCAAAATAAAATCCCTAACTACTGGACCCCCACATGTGTGTACCTCCACCATTTTTTCTGGGGTCAGTGTGCCCATCACAAGGACCTGGGACCAGCAGGGTGGGTGCAACTTTGTAGAGGGGAGAGAGATCAGCAAACATCCATTCACAGATCCCCTTTTCCACCTAATGACTTGGAAGAGACATATAAAGTATCACTCCTGTGTCCTGGTGTTGCTTTCTCCAGCCAGCTTGGCCAGGAAAGAAGCTAATGGAGCACAATCTGCGCTCTGCTGGCTTTGCTGGGGCATGGTAAACATCAGGGGTCTTTTCACAAAGAAAAAAAAAAAAATCTTCAATGCTTTTCAAAGCCTTTCATTACATATGAGACTTTTTATCTCCTAAGTCAGTGGTTCTCAACCTGGGGGTCGAACGACCCTTTCACAGGGGTCCCCTAAGACCATCAGAAAACACATATTTTCGATGTGTAAAGAGCAGCTACTGTGTAGAAAGCAGCTGCTGTGTTGAAAGCAGCTACTCTGTTTTAAAAGCAGCTACTGTGTTGAAAGCAGCAGTATTGGACGTAAAACGACACTCATGAACTATAATTACTGGGTAAATAATTTTATGGTTGGGGGTCACCACAACATGGGGAACTGTATTAAAGGGTCACGGCATTAGGAAAGTTGAGAACCACTGTCCTAAGTGATAACAAACATAAAAAAGTTAGTAAAAAAAAATAAAAGTGGTAAAAAATGAGTTACGGCTAAGCACTTAAAATCCCCCCCCCCCCCCCCCACATACAAACATAAATATACATGTTGGGAGCACCTATGCACAACAAAATCAGTTGTACTACACGTGTTACATATCACCAGGCACGCCAAAGAACAATAATGCTGTGCCCATTATTCATCCTAGTGTAGTACCTTCTTAGATTGATTGTTAGGAAAGCTAGATTCATTTAGTTCTTTTTGGGCTTCACTGTAGTCAGTGGAGCAGTTTATGATTGTTTTGGGCTGTTCAGGTTCGATTTGTTCCCGTTTTCTGGAGGATTCCGGAATATAGTGGGTGGAAGGAGGCAGATCAGCAGCCTGAATATTTACAGTATGTAGCTTCAGCCAATCCCTGGCCGAGGGTGCCCAGAAGGTGGCTGGAGGAGAGCATAAATAATTTGGAACCTAGGGCAGCCCTGTTCTTGTCCAGGAAAAAAGGTTCCCAGCCTGGAAGGCTACTGCCCTTCTGGCTGAGAAATCTACCAGTGCTCATTAAGGTCTCAGCTATGGCAGAGCTGGGGGGGGGGGGGGGGCACTGTTCTGCTAAAATCGCTGAAGCTAAGTGACAGATTTCACTGGGGATCCAGTTTGGTATATTTACTGAGTAATTATCTGTCTGTTATTGGAGGGTGGCATCCATGTATCAAGGGACATTGTGAGTACAGACCTTTATGGAGGATCCTAGTAACTGTTGCTGCTGCTGATATCCCTAGCATGGCCTGGGACTTTTCTGGAGGTTTCCCAGTTCATTTTCTCAGTTTTTTTTGCTGGAGGAACTGTCTTGAAAAGTATGTTTACAGTGAAGAGCATTTGCAGTTTATTACTCAGTGTTCATGGAGTATTCCACAGCTCCCTACACCATATCCAATTTAACCATTAGTAAATAGAAGAAAAAGGCAACCCCTAGACTGTTTATTGAGCCTGAAGATTGACTGTTGCTGTGTGCGTTGCTGCTAGTGTGCTAGTGCACTGATTTGGCAAAGGAACCTTGGACAAACCAGCAGTCCCCAGGGGGGTGAAGGCTACATTTGCGACAAGACAGGATGCGGTGGACACCATTTTTGGGAGTTTTTCAGTCAAGCTCTGGGAGCTAGATATGTGCGGTTCGTTTCATTCCGAATCAAAATTTGGCCAAAATTGTCATTATTCGAAGATTGGGATGTATCCAAATTTCCAAATTACAATAGAAACTAATTTAAATTAATCCAAAATACCTATACAAAATTTCATCTGAGATTCAAATCGAATTTGAATAAAAATCTGGGGAAAAAATTTAAATATAAACATATTGCTGGCTATTGCTGATTTCCTTCAAGTGTGTATTAGTATTAAAACTTAGAATATATCTGTTTTCCGAAATTCCAATTTCAAAAACAATAGAATAGAATAGAAAATAATAGAATAAAAAGAAAAAATAGAATAGAATAAAAGAGAATATAGCCAACTTCCAAAATTCAAATTTCAAAAAGAATTGAATGAAATAAAACAGAATAGATAAAAAAGGAATAGAGTAAACAGAACAGAATAGAAAATGAAATAAAATAATAGAATAAAATAGAATAGGAAAGAGGGCCAGATCTAGCCTATCTGATCTGGCGGTGCAGTAAAAAAAAGGGTCAGTGGGCATAATGTCAATAGTGTGACAGAGATACATGGAACCAACATTCCCTGTTCACTTGGCATGCTTCTATACCACAAAGTCACAACCCGGAAGTAATGTCTGACAGGTAGTGCAGAGGAAGTTCAGAAGTGAACAAAGAACACTAGTATGTATTAGGATGATTAAACAGAACCTGTGCTCCCTTATATCAGGTGTTCCTATCAGAGTGCCTCATTACATCAGGAGTCCTGAGACTGCCCCTTACATAAAATGTCCACATCAGAGTGCACCCTTACATCAATTCCTCCCCTCAAAGCACCCCTTTACATCAACTGTCCCCATCAGAGTTCCCCCTTACATCAAATGTCCCCATCGGAGCTCTCCCTTACATCAACTGTCCCCATCAGAGTTCCCCCTTACATTAACTGTCCCCATCAGAGTTCTCAGAGCTCCTTACATCAACTGTTCCCATCACTGTCCCCCAACAGACTCTCCCTTACATCAACTGTCCCCCATCAGAGTTCCCCCTTACATCAACTGTTCCTATCAGAGTTCCCCCTTACATCAACTGTCCCCATTGGAGTTCCCCCTTACATCAACTGTCCCCATCGGAGTTCCCCCTTACATCAGCTGTCCCCATCGGAGTTCCCCCTTACATCAGCTGTCCCCATCAGAGTTCCCCCTTACATCAACTGCAACCATCAGAGTTCCCCCTTACATCAACTGTTCCTATCAGAGTTCCCCCTTGCATCAAATGCAACCATCAGAGTTCCCCCTTACATCAACCGTCCCAGTCAGAGTTCCCCCTTGCATCAACTGTCCCCATCAGAGTTCCCCTTACATCAACTACCCCTTTACATAAATTGTCAACTACCCCCAGATTAGAGTCCCCATTACATCAATTGCCCCCCATCAAGTCTCGTGGATTAGCTGGATGCACTCTCAGAGATCAGGGGGGGAGGGACACAACCATGACAGGAAATAAAGGAATAGAATAGAAAAGAATTGAGTAAAACAGAACAGAATGATCTACCCGTGTAGTGCAAGGACCCACCTGATTTTATACTATATGAATGGGTTGTTTAGGTGTGTCTCCTATATATATAATTTTGGTAAACCTAAGGGTCACTATACACGTTACAATCTGACCAAATAATATCTTTACAATCAATTTGAGATTTACCAGAATTTTGTGATATGAGGACCTATCTAATCTATTCAATCTGTATTCAAT